TTAAGAAATTTTTTATTGTTATTTGTAGTTTTATGTATTTCTAGATTTATTAATTATTAAGTATTTTTTTAATCCATCCTTTATATCTGTTAAGAGTGTCAACTTTATTTTTTTTCAATGGAAAAATAAATATTTAATTAACTAATAAATTAAAATATTGATCTAATTAAATAGTTTTTTTTAACAACTTTTTAAATAGTACTTAGGAAATTATTATCATTTTTAAATATAGATTGTAGGAAGAGCATGTCAGAGTAATGCGTTATAATAATATAACCAACACATCACCTCCACTCATAATTTTTAAATAGTTATACCCAGTGCTCGAATTGGCCAAAAATAAGTAGGGGAGCTCAACTTAACAATTTGAAAACTGCGTCCCTAGTATTTTGAAGACCTTTTTTTTTTTTTACTCATTACTTTATTTAGTATTTATTAATAAATCATATTTCATTATCATACTAATATTTAAAAAAAAAAAAAAAGAGGTGGTATTTTCCACCGTCCTCCCGTCCCAATAAAAAAAAGTAGTTGGGGTGCGCAAAAAAATTTTAAAAAAAGTAGAGGAGCTACGTCCCCCTGCGCCCCCCCCCCCCCACAATTCGAGCACTGGTTATACCATCCGAAATAGTGAAACAATAGTTTTCATCGACCAGTCATTTTTTTTTTAGATTATATTTTATTTTATATATTAGTTAAAAACTCTAATAACATTGTTTTTAATAGTGCTATAATAATTTTTGCATAACATTATTTGTTAATATTGTTTTTTTTTTAACGACGACATACATACGTTGTAATATAAAACCAACCACAAATAGAAGGTAGTGAGGAAATATGCGAAGATAATGATGACTCTGCTTAGATATTTACGTACATGTGATCCTACAACAGTCAATGTGCTCAAATAACACTCCGGATTGGATGTGGGTGTCGAAATGTTGTGGACATAGAAATGAAATAAGAATAACACCTATGCATGACATGCAGACCAAGTGTAAGACACAAGTTCTATGAAAATGTAGAGGGCGAAAGTAGGTAAGTGTAAAAGGAAAGACGTCAAAAGGAATCAACAACAACTCGACTTTATGTAGTAAGCTAAACAGCGACATCTAAGTAATAAAACTTATGAATGACATTAAGTATAAGGCTACTTACTGAAGTCGATTGATCACAATGGCCAGGGGGTCTATTTTTGAATCGTCCGTTCACGAACATATACGTTTAGATTTTATTTTATACAGGGTGTTCAGTAAGTCAGGAAACGAGTTTCTATTGTTCTCATTGTTACAAACAATAAAAAATAAACAATAAACAAAAAAACAAACAAAATCTATATTAATTACATCTATATTAATAAGTACACAGCATTGTTATTATCAATGGTAGTAAGGTACATTGTTGTTAGTTTATAAATACACTTACTGACAATACAAAAAGTATATCTATTGATAGTCATAATTGATAATAAACAATCCGTGACTGTGACAGCGATGTCATAAAAAACCAATTAGCTACTAGTATTTATAATCCCTTGTGTATTATAATTGTATATTAACTCAAAAATTTAAAACTTTAAATGTTTATATCTAATAAACTAAGAAAGTTACATTCAAAATTCAATTACTATTAAATTAAAAACTGAAACATTTTATTAAATTAAATAATGCGTTTCCATTTAAACCTTTTGACACTTTTACAAAGTATAAGGGATGAACTTAAAAAGTATTACATAGTTAATAATTCAAGAATGATGTGTAACTAAAGATAATCGAAAATAAAATTGTTTAATTTATTATTATTCTGTAAGTAATTGAGTGAGTTATGATAAAAAAAATTACTCTGTATACAATGTATTTTATGGTTGCATTTTTCATGTGAATTTTATTAAATAATGTGATTTCTGTTTATATTACTCAATTATCTTAAAAAAGGTCTCGCTACATTTATTGAGATAGTAAACAAATATTTTGTATCATTGATGCGTTGTAAGTTGCCTTGAAATAATTTGTAATCGAATAATTTATAAATGAATATAAAAAAATAATTGTGAAAATATGATAACATAAATGTACCTAACAATTTTTAATAATAAAATTTAATGATCAATTAGTGATTGATATAGTTTATATTATATTACATATAGATAATAGTTTTATTTAAAAAATTTTTTAATATTTAACTAAAAACTTTTGATTATATACTAAAAATTCAAACGTCATTTACTATTAAATTAAAAGTTCAAACATTTTATTATATTCAAAATATGTGTTCCCATTTAAAAAACGTATACGTTTGATGATCGGACGATTCAAAAATAGACCTCCAGGTCTTTTGGGTTTAAATAGTTAGGATTATGGTTAATTTCACAACTATTTTTAATTGTCAATTCATCAGTATCACAAATCAAAATCACAATAAATTTATGATTCCCAGAGTTATTTATAATTTAAAAATAATATCAATACGTCAATCGAATATACAGTCATACGATATTAGCTTAAATGCGAAGCTGAGAAGATATTAATTTTACTATGTTTTTTTTTATTTTTTCTCAGCTCTCACCGAACCGATTTCTTTCAACGATACGTCAAAAGATCACAAATCGTATCTAGTCGAAGACAATACCCTCAAAACTAGAAAAAAGTTCCCTCGTTCCTCGTAAAAGGGGAAAATCTCCAAAAAAATTATAAATTTAAAAGTCGCTAATTTTCGACATTTGTTCAATTTTTTTTACTTAAAGCTGCCATAACTTTTTTAAAAATAATCAAATCAATATAAATTTTTATTTTATAGATACATAAGGTATTTACTATCATTTTGTATATTTTTATAAACCTGACCCTTTACCTGCCATGGGGGGATTCAAAAAAACAACTTTTTCAACTTTACTTTTGAAAAAAATTTCAGAAAATTTGACACTTTATATATATTTTAATTTAAAGTTTATGTAATATACTTATTATAAAAAAAAAAAAAATGTTGAACTTCATTCTGTCTTCATGGTAAAAATGGTTACCGTATGCTATGTTTGTGTCAAAATGTTCGAATTTGTATTTTATTTTATTTTAAAATACCTTACAAGAGTTTTTAAATTAAAAAAAAATTTTTAATTATTTCTTTTTATCACATTATGATTCAATAACTTTAATAAATATCAAGGACTCCATCACTGTAGCCTCCCCTCGATTGAAATTTCTTATTTATTTTAGTTTTTTTACTATATGATTTATTTTTTATGGCTTTCATTTATTTTCTCAGCTCTCACTTTACCAACATTTTTTAACGTTACATCAAATGATCACAAACATTATGTAAATAAAGATGTTACCCACAAAAATTGAAAAAATATTCATTTTATCAATGAAAAATTTACTTAGCTCACATTTTCCATATAGACACATAATACAAGTTCAATCTACGTTGATTGCTTTAATAGATATTTACTCATAAATTATACTTATAAATCAAGTTAATTTTGCTTTTAGAATAATCAACCTTTTTCTTAAAATTATAGACTATCTAATGTTTTGCATCGAATCGTCCTTTATGATTTTAATCACTGTCAGATATCATCTATATTAGACCCAACTATATCACGTCCCCGCTATGATGGGTTTTTTATTAACGTTATACCTGCATGATAAGTATTATAGTAATGCACTAGATGTTAACTAACGGAATCTAACAAAAATACTCATATATTTAGTAAAAATCGTAAAATCATCAAGCTATTTCAGCAATAGTAATAAAATGATAGGTTAAATAAAATTTTTACTTACAACTTTTATTTTGTAAAATTATAACTTTGAGGATTTTTGCATAAATCTTTAGGTATTATTACAAATTATTCATCAAATTTGATGAAATATACGTAAATAGCACAATTTTGATAATTTTACCAAATATTACGTATATTATCATTTTTCTGTTAAACTAATGATTTAGAAGAAAAATTGATATCATCTGATTTATATAAAACAATTAGATCAATAATTTAATTTTAATATTTTTTTGGATTTTGCGAGAGCACTAATTATGAGTGAATTTTAAACAACTAAAAAACTACCTTTTTGGATGATATTTAACTGCAAGTATGCACTTATTAAACATATCTCACAGGCCTGACATATTTTGCAGTCACTTTTTATAAGCATACAAATATATTTAAAGGCTGATCCCGAAGAATTTTCAAAATAAGTAATTAAAATAAATTAATTTTGATACAGTTAATTTTATTGTTAATAGTTAATATACTTGAAGTTATAATAATAATTTAATTATAATCATTTTTATAATTAAATTAAAAAAAATTTAAAGGTAGCCATTTTATAAAAATAGATTTTAAAAAATAATTTGGGGAATAAATTCTCATTAATGTTTGGTAGATAATTTTAGATAACATTTCATGTTTTATCTATAAAGAGATAAAACTTATTATCTTACTCTTCCTCTGACCTTGTCTCAACACATATTTCAACGTTTAATACAGTAAAATAACGCATGTATATTTAAATTTTTACAAACTTTAAAATGATACAAATTATTTACTACTGAATATTAATAAGATATTTTTTTACCAAAATTTTTCTTAAAATCTACTCAACAAAATAGCTATTCTGGATTTTTTTACATTTTATTTAAAATTTAAAAAAAATTAATATTTTCAATAAAATGTAAAAATATAAATTGTGAAATATAATTATAGACCTAACGTATAACTGTTATTTAAAAAAAATCAGTAAAAAATATTAACTAGATTAAAAATTATTTAAGTTGTAAGTGAATGCTGAGCTTCCCTGTATGTACACAGAGTGTCTCAGAACTAATTTATAATTCCTTTAACAGATTGTAGGAGTAATTACGGAAAGTCAAAAATGGTGAAGATAGATAATAACTTATAAAAAAAATTAGCTTTTAATTAAATTCATTTTTATGATAAAAGTTAATTAAAAAATGCTAGTTAAATTCTTAACAAATCACACTATATAAAGGCTTACTCAAAATGGTGTCCTCATTAGATTCAGTTTGCATAAGTGCAGTCATCTCATCAGTAATTATATAATTTGATGAATTATCTACATCTAAAAAAAGAAATTAAACATTATTATTTAAAATAAAATTATATGCAAGTATAATTCGTTTGATTTCCTTTATTTCCAGCTTCTTTTACAGATGATTTAATTTATCAAAAGATAATTATATAGCAAACAACAAAACCTCTAAAAGTATCCTACATTAATGATAAAACATAATAGGTTGTCCAAAATTACACGTATAGTTAGAACATTTGTACTATAACAACGCTGGAATGTTAACTAATATATATGTTTTTTAGTCTAAAAAATTATATTTAATAATTGGAAAATTTAAAAAAGTCAAATTTAAAATAGTTTTTTTAGTCAGTTAAAAAGGCATAATTTTTTTCAAAATCGATCATACCAGAATTTAATTGTTTTGGTGTTGGTACTGCAATCTTTTGAGCTGATATATCGAATTTGAAACCAAGTTTAATAAATTTATTAACCATTATATGTTTAATTTGAATATCTAACTTTTTACTTAAATAATCAAAGAAATAAATTTTATTGCCTTCGTTAGTTTTAGTATTATATTCTTTATTCAATTCTTGCCACATTAAGTTTAAATCATAGGGAATATATTTACAATGTTCGTTTCTTTCACCGATTATTCTCTGATTTTGGTTAAAAAATAAATTTAAGTATTTTAATAAATTTTTTGTGTCCAATGAATTATTTGAAAAGCGAATTTTTTTCAAATATTCATTTTTTTCTTGTAAATTCCAAAACATACGACAGAATAATAAATCATATTTTTTTCCTTTGTGCCACGGATAACTGTGCATTGTGTCTAAAGCTTGTATAGTTTCTTGCATTATTTTAAGCAATGAATTTATTTTTTTTATTACTTTCAATAACTTTTTAGTGCAATCGTAACCCAAAGTTTCGTGATTTTGTTTGTCATATAGCTTTCCACAATGATTACTAAAATGTTCAAATATAAAATAAAAAATCTTCAAATCTTTAACATACGAACAACCAAGTACAAGTGTAGCAGTACGTACTTTATTATCAAAATTATTAAAAAGCACTCTGTTTTGAAGGGCTATTTTTAAGAAATAACCTATTCCAAAGAAAGTTACATATTGCACGTCATTTAAATTTTTCCATCCATCATTAGAAAAAAGATTGGTTAGCGCATCTTTATATATATTATAATTGTTTTTTGCTTTACAAAACTCAAGAATATAAATTAAAAATAAACAGAAAAGAAGGAATCGTAAGAGTAACATTTTTTTGCTAGACTGCAAAATATTAATTAAACTAAAAACACATTGAATTGAAAAATCGATAATTAAAATTAACACTAAACTAAATTTAGTATATGATTAGGTCATACTCCTTATTTACTCATTAGATCATCGCAAAATATATATTATGTTAACAGATGTTTTAGAATCGTAAATATCACGGCTAGGAAACGAATTTATTTCGATTTTTGGCAATTTCATCTAGTAAGGTAATTTATCTGTATTATAATTTTTGGTACATATTAAATTATTAAAAAAATGATATCAGTAATCAAAAATATTAGGAAACCTCCTTTAAAACGTTAACATATGACTCTAAAACTCAATTATTAATAAACAAACATGTATAGTAACTTAAAAATACATAAGACTAAAGAAGTGGAGCACCATAGAGAGAAAGAGGAAACTTTAATTTAATTGGAAAATCTATAAAAAGCGCTGCAAAAGGAGTCTTATAAACAACTCAAATATATATCATCTATAAGAAACAAGTGTTCTAAATATCATTCTCTTTCTTAGGGAGTTACTATACTCAAGGAGATGTTACTCCTATTAGGGAGTGGGGTTTCAAGATTCAAATATTAAAGCACAATGGGACAGAAAAAAACCCAGCACAGGGGGGTCGCGGCACAGTGGTGACGTGGCATAGTTGGATCAAGTATAATGATATCTGACAGTGATTAAAATCACTATCAAAAAAAAACGCTTCGATGCAAATCTTTAGATAGTGTTTAATTTTAAAAAATTGGTGGATTATTCCAAAAGCTTCATAAACTGCTAGTTCCTTATTAATATCCTGATTAAGACAAAGTATGTCGAATAAAAAAGAGATTATTAGAAAATAGTATTTCCCATAAAAAAATTATATTGATCAATACACTTTTCAATAAGTTATAGCATTATAATGTTAAAAATGTAAAAAATAAAATTGAGAATTTTCACACAATAATAGCATTTGGTAGCCATTTTCACCTTGAAGATAAAATAAAGTCCGAAATTTTTTTTTTCCATGATAAAGTATATTACATTAGCTTTAATTTAAGATATATATAAAAGTGTCAGACTTTCCGGAACACTTTCAAAATTTAAGTTGAAAAAGTCAATTTTTTGTGAAAAAGTTGTCATTTTGAATCCCCCCCTGTAGGCAGGTAAAAAGTCAGATTTATAAAAAAAATATACCAAATGATAGGTAAAGACATCATGCATCTACAAAAAAAAGAATTATATTGATCCATACATCTTTCGAGAAGTTATAGCATTATAAAGTTAAAAATATAAAAAAGAATTTTTTTACAAAAATCGTATTTTTTTTATTAAGTTTAATGTCTGTTTTCACCATGAAGATAAAATAAAGTCCGAAATTTTTTTTTACCATTATAAAGTATATTACATTAGCTTTAATTTAAGATATATATAAAAGTGTCAGACCTTCCGGAACACTTTCAAAAGTTACGTTGAAAAAGTTCTACTTTCTATATGCATTTTTATGTTTTGAATCCCCCCTGTATTTAGGGAAATGGTCCGATTTAAAAAAACAGTATGTCGAATGAAAGATCTATATAAATACTACTTCTCATAAAAAAATTGTAATGATTCATACATTTTTCAAAAAGTTATAGCATAATAAAGTTAAAAATGGAAAATACAAAATCGAAAATTTTCACACAAAAATAGCATTCGGTAGCCATTTTCACCATGAAGATAAGATAAAGTCCGAAATTTTTTTTTTTCATGATAAAGCATATTACATTAGCTTCAATTTAACATATATATAAAAGTGTCAGACCTTCCGGAACATTTTCAAAATTTAAGTTAAAAAAATTAATTTTTTGTGAAAAAGTTGTCATTTTAAATCCCCCCTTGTGGGCAGGTTAAGGGTTAAATTTATGAAAAAAATATACCAAATGAAAGGTAATGATATTATGCATCTATATAAAAAAGAATTATATTGATATGTT